TTATAATGTGTATCTTTGGAAAAAGATCTGCAAACCGTATGTTGTGGTATAAATTTTACTTTGCAGATATTGTTGCTTTTAAAATTCTTTAGTTTGCAAAAATGAGAGATACATATTTTTGTTTGATAAAAAGTATGTCAAATTATTATAGTTCGAAGACTATTTGATAAGAAAAACATTTCTATGTGAAAGAATATGTGTTATTCTGTTTGGAGAAAAAAAACTTTTGTAGTTTTTTACTCCATGAGAAATGTTTGTATCTGATTTTTGTAGACTAAAAACTTTTGTGGTTTTATACTCTGGATAAATTGGACTCTGCAATTGGTTTGAAGAATATGAAAACTTCACATAATAAATCAGTGTTGTACTTTTGATTTTCTATAAACTTCAATCTAACATAGAAATAAATTGTACAAATTTATTTTGTCCTTATTGTTAATATTTAAAATACTAAGTGGCATGTCTATTTATGATAGAGAGAAAAAAACCAATGACTTAGAATTTGTGATTTTGGATTTCTATGGAATGAAGATTTGACATTGTGTAAACATTGCCAAAGAGAATTGCAACACTATAATTCTTTCGTAGAATAATGTTTTCCAACATTAAAATATGTGGAAAAACTATTTTCAAATACTTGAAAAATATTTTTGAGATCACATTTGAAATGTGGGGGTTATTTGCTTATGATTAGACTTGGTGTCTAATTTAACTTTGGAGCAAAAGATATGAAATTTAATGATACTTTTGTATTATGTTATACCCACAAAATTCTTGGAGTATATTTGATATTGTGGTTGTTGAGTTTCTCTATTACTAGTATATAGTGTGACTAGTATGAAACATCCAAATTATATATATACTTGTTCAAAATAATTGTGTTCTTTTATGAAAAAAAATCACTTAAAATGTTGTGATTTTTCATGAAAAGATATGTCTATTATAATAAAAGTATTTGCATAAACATAAATATTGGTGAATAGTCATTTGTTATGTTTTTTGTAAAAATAACAGTTGGACTATATTGTCTTTATTGAACCCAATGAAACTTTGTTCATAGGTAGTTCTTTAACAATCACATTGAAAGTTATGGAAAATGCCCTTCTGAAAAGGATATTTGACAATCTAAATAATGTTTATATCACACAAAATTGTAAGAAATAGGAACAAAATATTAGTGAGGAAAAAGCTACCTCGCGAAGAGCTTTTCAAACTCAATATTTTTATTTGTTCTTACTTGCTTGAGTCAATGTTTGTGACATGAACACTTGGGGCATGTCAATTACAAAACCTTGTAAGAAAAGGAAGTTTTGCCTAACTTTGAGTGCAATAAATAAAAATGTCAGGTTTTTGTGGAATCTAAGTATGTTGAGCATTCTTATAAATCTGTTGAAAGGAATTTTATCCCTTAGAATTGATTTACACTAACATTTTTGATATGAAGTTAACACCATCTCATGGTGGGAAAAAGTATTTGTTACTTTTATTGAGAATTGCATTAGAAATGACTATGTCTATTTGCTAAATGGTAAGGATGAAGCAATAGAAATGTCTAGACAATGTAATATCGAAGTTGAAAATCAGTGTGAAAAATTATATAAGAAGTGATAAGAATAGAGAGTATAAATCTCATTGTGCAGAAGTATGTTTGGAAAGTGAAATATCAAACTACTGCCATATTCACCTCAATCTAATGTAAAAACCGAACGTTGAAAGAAATTATGGATGCATAATTTATAAGTTCGGTTTTACACAAAACTTGTGTGGAGGAACTATCCTTACTGCAAAAGGGATCAATAAAAAAAATTGTCCTTTTAGAAAGAAAGCGATTTTGTTTGATCAGAATATGATCTTTTCCATATGAAAAATGGAAAGAAAGGAAATACAACTTGAAATACTTCAAAGTGTGGGGGTATCTAGTCAAAGTTCAAGATCCTATTCCTAAAAGAATTAAAATAGGACCTATGACTGTGGACTGTAAAATTAGACTTGAGTAGTCTAGAGAAGGGTCTAAAAATCCTAGAAATGAAAAGGATAATGTACTTAATAAAAAGATTCAGAGGCTTAGTAAAATGTTAAAGGACATTTACTTCCTTCGAATATGATTTTGTAACATTTTTTGTGTCTTCCGTAGACTCATCCTTTGGAAAGATGGTGTCAATAAACAATATTGAAAGTTAATTTATCTTCTTCAAGAAAATAAACCTTTGGGTTCAAAATGAATCTTTAGAAGGAAAAATAACAGTTGATGGAACTGTTGAAAAATATAAAGCAAGACTTTGTGTCAAAGGTTTTAGAAAAAAAAAGAAGATTTGATCTTGTTGATATATATACTCGTTAGTAATTAGAATTACATCCATTCGGATGCAAAAATTATTACTGTGGTATATGACCTCCAAATTCATCAAATGAATGTGAAAAGAACTTTCTTAAATGTAGAATTGGAGGAAGAAATTTATATGGAACAACCCGAGGATTTTGTGGTACCTGGTAAATAAAAGAAAGTATGTGAACTTGTTAAGTCACATTATGGTAGCACCAAAACAATGACATAATTCAATAAAATCATGTCGGCAAATGGATTGAAGAATGATGGAAGTGACAAATGTGTTCACATTAAAATCATAAGGTCATTGTTTGTTTGTATATTGATGATATGTTGATCATCAATAGAGACAATAATGACATAAATGCTACTAAATGTATGCTATTGGAGTTGCTAATGCGATCTTAGATATAAGAATTCGTAGAACTCCATAATGTTTAGCATTTTCATGGTCTCATTGCATTGAAAAGGTACTTAACTAGTTCAAATATTTGAATGTCAATATTGTCAAGTGTCCAATAAATGTGAGCTTTGTATTTCAAAAGAGTGAAAACAAAAGTGACTCACAATTGGATTGTTCTAGAGTTTTGGGAAGCATGATGTATATCATATAATGTGTGCGATCAGATCTAGCATTTGTTATTTTAAACTGAGTCGGTTCACAAGTGATCCCAAATAAATTCATTAGATGACAATAAATAGAGTTGTGGAGTATTTAAAATAATACTTAAAATTATGTCTTGCATTATAACAATATCCAACAATATTGAAAGATATAGTGATGCAAATTGAATCATCGGAAGAATGAAGTAAAATTCACGAGTGGATATGTATTTACTATTGGTAGAGGAGCAGTCTCTTAGAAATATTTCAAAAGAGACATGTATGGCTAGCTCTACAATGATCTTTGAGCTAGGTGCTCTAGATAAGGTCGGTAAATAAGTTAAAAGACTCCGGAATTTCTTGATAGATATTCTATTTTGGCCCAGACCATTGGCATTAGTATGCATACACTTTCACAGTCAAGATGCAATAGGTAGGGCATGGAGCATGACGTATAACAGAAAGTCTCGTCATATACGACATAGACATGATACTGTTAGAAAACTACTCTCTAGTGAAATTATCATAATTGACTATGTAAACTCAAAGGATAATGTGTCGGATCCACTTACAAAAATGCCTAACTAGAGAGAAAGTTAAAAGATCATCTAACGGAATGAATTTACGGCTTAGGACAAGTCATCATGGCGGTAACTCTATCTAGCAGACTGGAGATCCTAAGAGCTAGATTCAAGGAGAAAAACAAAGTTGTGAATGACGGTTCGGCATTGTCAATAAACTCAATCCATTCTCATGATGAAGACATTGCTCAGGGACATGGATACAACATTAAGGCTTGTTAATTAGTTAATAAAGCTTAATGGTTTTAATGATTTGCTAAGTTTGGAAGAGTTGACCAAATAGTGTATCTACGCGATAACACGGTTAGAAATCACCTATGTGAGTGTGAAGTGTAAGCCGCTTCAAAGAAGATGATTGTCAAAAGCCCATCTCTCTATACACTCATGAAACCAGGAGGTGTTCAGGCTAAAACGAACACAACCGTAAGAACCATAGATGGTAAAGGGTTAATTGTGTGACATATGGTTGTCTAGGTATACACCAAAGTTCGACGGTTCAAAGATATCGCATCTACCGATTGACCGAGTATATCCGACATATGTTCACTACGGAAAGTCCAAGGGGAAACCTACTTATCCAGATGCAATTAATTCTTGCTTGTAAAGTACACATACTTGTTCGTTTCTTTGTCTTCGAGTCATTCCCCATTCATGCGGGGATTGTTGGATTTTAAAAAAAAAGATGTGAATGGAAAATGAAGAGTTGCAACTTTTATGAAGAGTTGTGACTTTTATGAAATGTTGCGACTTTGATGAAAAGTCGTGACTTTTATGAAAAGTTGCATTTTTTATGAAAAGTTGTGACTTTTATGGAAAGTTGTGACTTTTATGAAAGGTGACGACCTTTCTGAAAGATTGTGACTTTTCCAAAGGTTTGTGACCTTTCCGGTAAGGCATAATAAGAACCTTTTCGCACTATCCTCTGTTTTCTATAAATTGAGGGATTTCCTCTCATTTTAAAAAGAATTTATGGACTTCTTATTCAACTACTAAATATAGTATTCTAAGTGTACTTTACTGCCGTTGAGTGGTTCGCTGACACCGGAGTTTTTGGTATCTATACTCTGGTGATTGAGATCATTTTACCTTGGGAGGTCATATTCCAAATCAAACCTCGGATACTAGAGGGGAATAATTTCCTTAAGGGGACACTGTGAATTCAGTGGACTTGATCTTTTTCCTATTAAAAATTTCCAGATTCTGGTACGTGTTTTACAAATTTTAGATTTGTGAATTAATTTCAGTTCTTCTATTCTTCTGTTCTTCACTGGTTCATTAAACTTGCTAACTTCGTGTTGCTGCAAAGTTTGTTGGAATCAGTAAGATTCATTAGACACATATTAACAACAATTCTTCTTTAAGAAAAATATTTCGTATTTTTTTTTTAAAAAAAAATATGTTTCTGATTCTAGTTTCGCTACTAGTTTTAATTTTCTAGTTGTGAAAATGTTCTTAAACTTTGTTTTCTTACAAAGATGTTCAAAGTTTTGTTCTACGTATGTTTGGAATACAAGATGAACAACACTATGTCCATCCGAAATCTTCTGGTAGGGAACCGATGGCATGGTCTAGTTTGTCTATCAGGCAAGGTTTAGGAGGGGGTGCCTGTGGTTTCAACAGCTTATGCTCAGTAGGAACTGATCAGAGGCCAAGATGTGATTGTCCACTTGGGTATATCTTGGATGATCCGAATGATAAATTAGGCAGCTGCGGACAAAATTTTCCCGAGCAAAACTGTAACCTTGAAGCGCGAGAAGTTGAGTCTTTCACATTCCACGAAATGTTGGATACTGACTGGCCTGACTCTGATTATGAGTCTCCCCGGGATGTTTCAGAGGATTGCTGCAGAGAGAATTGTTTGAGTGATTGCTTTTGTGCTGTTGCCATTTACAGTGATGACAATGTTTGTTGGAAGAAAAGGTATCCTCTTTCAAATGGGAGAGTAGGTCCAACGATCGGAGGGAAGACTTTGATAAAAATAAGGAAAGAGAACTCCACAGTGTGGGAATCGCCAAATGTTGAAATACAAATAAAAGAAAAATCAATCTACTCTGATCATTTCTGGTTCTGTGATGTTGGCAAGTTCAGTTTTCATGAATTTAATCTTATTTCTTTCGGCACTTGTGTACCTTTTTATGCTTAAAGGGAAAAAACGAAAGAGAATTGCACCGTATTCAGCTGTTCCGGGAGTGAACTTAAGAAGTTTTAGCTACAAAGAGCTAGAACAAGCTACAAATGGATTCAGGGAAGAGTTAAGAACTGGTACTTACTCAACAGTTTACAAAGCCGTTCATCATAACATGGTAACAGAAGGAGAAGGAGAAGTATTTGAAGCTGAAGTGAATTCAATCAGCACGACTAATCACAAGAACTTAGTCCAACTCCTTGGATTCTGCAACGAAGGCCAACACCGCCTTTTGGTATATGAACACATGAAAACCGGCTCGATAGCACACTTGCTATTCAAAGATTCTAGGCTTAGTTGGTCCAAAAGGGTACAAGTTGCCATCGACACTGCTAAAGGACTTTGCTATTTGCATGAAGAGTACAGTACTCAAATTATACATTGTGACATCAAGCCCCAAAACATGCTTTTGGATGAAAATTTGACAGCAAAAATAGCAGATTTTGGTATGGCCAAGCTACTAAAAGACATCAGACTCAAACAACAACTAGGATACGTGGAACCAAAGGATACGTAGCTCCAGACTGGTTCAGAAGCAGATTTTGGTATGGCCTGTAACTGTGAAGGTTGATGTGTACAGCTTCGGGGTCTTGCTCTTAGAATTGATATGCTGCAGAAAAAATTATGAGCAGGATGTGGCAAATGAGAACGATATGATACTACTAGAATGGGCTTACGATTGCTGTAAAAGAGATAAGTTGCATTACTTGTATGCGCTGATGAAGAGGCATTAGAAGATATCAAGAGATTTGAGAAATTCTTATTGGTTTCTATTTGGTGCATTCAAAAAAATCCAGCATCAAGGCCTAACATGAAGAAAGTAATGTTAATGCTTGAAGAGATAAGTTGCATTTTCTTTTACCTAATAGAGAACACCAATAACCTGCATCTGTATCTCAGTGCAATATGTTTCTTCAAATGTATGAAATATTTCAGCTTCAACCATGAACCTATAGCAGACAATACATTATATCGAATTTAAGAAGTTGTTACGTTCAAACTTTCCTTATTTTAAGAAAAGCTTTTACATTCAAAGAGGTATCTACTCTCCCATTTGACAATGGAAGTTTCTTCTTCCAACAACTATTGCTTCTATAAATAGCAACAGCACAGAAACAATCTTCTAAACAAGCCTTCTTGCATTCCTCTTCAGCAGAAGGATAAATCCTCTCGAAATCTGATAACGGCCAATCAACATCAGTCACCACATCAAAATCATATAAATCTTCAGGATTTCCCTGTCCAAATTCATCACAACTAGGGACAAATTTTGGTTTACAGCTCCCATACTTGTTATTCGGATCGATCAACGAATACCCTTTTGGACACTCACAATATGGTCTGATTTTCACCTATATGACACACATTGTTGAATCCACAAACTCCACTTCCAATATCTTCAACAATTGCTAGACATATGTTATTAGGCAAAGACCAAAGAGTACTCCACTTTTGATCCCCCGTAGACGTACTCTTTGGACGATAATAATGAGTTAAAACACCATCAAAATCAAGACTTAGCCTGTGATAATTTTCTGAAATTGAAGGAACATTAGGAGGTGTCAACACAAGTCTTTGATTGTTCCTTTTCAATATGTAAACTGAACCTAACTCATCGAATATCAATTGATAACCAGAATTGGCTTCATCTCCTGAATCAGAAGTATGACTATTGTAATACTCAGCATCATAATTGAAATTCGTTGGCTTGGATTGAGTAACAAGAACCAAATTCCCATCACTCAACATATGAAGATAAAATCTACCAGGACCAAAGAAAGACTCAGATTTTCGAACAACAAGCTTGTTGTTAATCTCTAGCATTTGAGTAGGCATAAGGGTATCAGTCGGATATCGAAAACTTTCCCATAATACTGAAGAACCAACACCAACAAGAACAAAGTTTCCTGTATCATTCATGACGGCATAAGCAACATTAGAATCAATCCTACCAGTGCTCCACATGATCATTTTCCCTTTAGGATCGCGGAGAATGAGTCCCTTTTGAGGATTTAACTCCGCGACTGAGCCTCGTGGCACAAGGTTACCACCATTTGCATACCAAATTATGTTGGCTTCTTTAATCTTAGCATAATATATGCAAAGTAAGAACTGATTTTGACTTCGAATTTTCTTGAATCCAAATGCAAAATCTCCAGATTGAGAAAGCCATGATGTTGTTTCATCATTTGCTATGAGAGAGCTGCCTAATGGTATAGCAAACTTAGTTTGTGCTAAAATATGCATGGGAAAGATGAGAAGAACAAGCACAAGAGGATATTTTGTGGAGTATGTCATTTTCACATTTCAAAATCTATGGTTTATTAATGTGAAGTTTATCTTTTATGTATAAGACTATAAAAAGACATATTAGATCTTATGTTTATCACGATACTTAATTGATTATTTTAAAAATAAAACAGATTATCTATTGTGTTTATCACGGTGGCAAATAGTCTTAGTCACCAATTATTGCTACTTGGTGAGTGTTTTGAACTTCTTTGACTTTCCGAAGCTTTTTGATGATTGAAAATTTTAAATAAATAGAGTCATCGTAGGAGATGTGGACCAAGCTGGGTGATGGGTCAATTTATAATAAATAATACTCATATGGCTGGTGTGATATTTGTCTCCACATCCATAAAAGAAAAGTTTTACCAATATAATCTTTATTTAATTATTCTTTTTTTAAAAAAATTATCCTATAAATAAATTAAAAAAAGAGCTTAATATTATATCATAACTATTAATTTGTCGGCGCGTCGTGTGGTCATAAATAATAGTTGCATTGAAGTTGTAAACAATTTTTTACCAATATACATACATTAAAAATAATGGAAAATAGGTTTAAAAAAAATATTAGCAATATTTCAATATGAATTTAATTATTTGTCACTATCATATAACCAAAGAACCTTTAGCGAATGAATTATTCACGAAATAATAAATCATTTGTTCTTTAATTAATATTAAAAGGAAAATAAACAAGAAAATAAGAATATATATACAAAAATATTTCATGATAAAGTTTAAAAAGAATCATTTAAGTTGCTCAGATTATACAATTGTGATATATATCTTAAAAGAAAATTCAAAAGTTTGTTAACATATTCAAAAAAAAAAATTACGCTTGAACCGAAAAACAATTACAACTTTTGAACTTGGATTATGAATTTCTTCAATTGATAAGTGAGAAATTACATATCTATGTAAAAATACATAATATGTAAGTTTATGTATAGTATTTTTAAGTTATATAATTTAATATAAAATATCAAAAAATGAATTGTTGGAGCTGAGTACAATAATTATTTTCTACACAATAAATATACGTACCATAAGTGTATATGTTCAATATATTGGGAGACAATAAATGTTTCTGCAAAGTTGTATTCAAAAACAATAATTAATATCATATGCATAAGTCAATGAGTGTAAAAAATATACCAGAATATATAAAAATAGAATGCAATAGAAACAAAAAAAATGAGTCTACTGAATGCAGAGTATCCCATAAGAAAATTATTCCCCTCCAAACCAGAGGTTTAAAGAATTGATCCTCTCGTGATGGAACAATTTTAGTAACCAACTTATTGATACAAAAACAACAGTGTCAGTAAGTTATTCAATAGGAGCAAATCAAACGAATATTTAATTTTACGGAAGTAGAAGAAGAAGATCAGATTTTTTTTCTTTAAATGAGAGAAAATTCCTCTATTTATAAACAAAAAAGGGTAGTGTGAATAATTTTTTGTCGTGCCTTATCAAATTAATTACAACTATTTGAAAAAGTTGTAACCCTTCAGAAAGTTCACAACCTTTCATAAAAGTCGCAACTGTTCATAAAGTCGCAACTTTTGAAAGACGTCGCAACTCTTCATTAAAGTCACAACTCTACATTGAAGTCACAACTATTCATAAAAGTCAAATTTTTTCATGAAAAAATGAAGGCTAATTTTGAAAATAAATAAAATTAAAACGAAATCATTGCTTCTGATTCCGCCACATAAGCGGATCTAGATTTCTCTTTTATATAAATATATAATTTGTGTTTTGATAAATATATGAAAACAGAAAATAAACTTCTTTTCCAATTTGTTTTCTCTCTCTCTTTTTTCATGTCCGTTCTTCCTTCTTTTTTGTTCTCTTATTCGTCTTTTGTCCTACCTTTTGTATTTCTTTTTTGTCTTTTTCATCTTCAGTCTCTTTTTAAAAACTATTTTTCCTTTTTTTTTTTCAGTTTTCTTTATTTAGTTTTTCAATTACGGATCTAAAGAACTTATCTATTTTACATAGAAATAAGGGTAAAAAAATATCTAAAATATTTAATTTTTTGAACTTAATACCTAAACTATTGAAAGTGATTTTCATATCTAAACTATCAATTATTAGTTTGATAAATACAGTAATGTACTCTCTCTTTTATTTGAAAAAATCTTCATACATGACATTGCACATGCATAAAATTTTAAATTTATTTTTCTTACCCACTTCACCACCTCCTTCCTGTACTATCCCTCCTCCACTCCCCCCCCCCCCCTCCCACAATCCCCAGCCCTTTTATTTTATTTTAAAATTTCTGTTTACATCCCTACTCAGTCAAAATAGGGCAAAATGTCGCGGCAACTCGAAAAGAATTAATTGATTCAATTTTAACAAAGTTTTAAAAATAAACGAGTTTTAAAAAGAGTCGCCACCTAATTTTAGGAAAACTGAGAAACCAATTATTAATCTACGAAACCAAATTGATTCTAGGTAAGGGGTTCAAGTTATTCCGAAGGGAAGGGGTTAGGCAACCTTCGGATTCCACAACTGTGGTTCCCGACTGAATTCGTTTTCATTTTCAAATTGAGGAAGAATATAAAATAATGTACAAATATAATAAACATGCAATATACAAAATAAAACAAAATAATAATCGGCCTAATGTATGCCGAACATTAATATTCACAAGATAATGAAATTAAAAGTATGATTCGAACTACATTCGAATAATTTCAAGGAGAAACACCTTCGGGTACCTATAAAGACACTTAGTAAAAGAGTTAGTACCAAATAAATATAAATAAAAATAAATAACTCAAATAATAACTTAAAAATAAAAATCCGTCTTATTAACATTGGAGGCCTTGGAAATCGACGTTAATTTCTTCATCGGTCAATTCCAACAACTGAAATTATATATAAACTTAAATTAGATTTTATGTCTTATAATATTGGGGAGGCCTCCAAAACCGACGGAGAGTTTTCTCATTGTCCCCTTTCAACAATTTTGACAAACAATTTATATGAACTTAAACTAAAAATTTCATTCTCTGAAAATGGAAAAGGCCTCTAAACCCAATGGATAGATTTTTTATTGGCCAATTTCAACATATAAAATATATAAACTTGAATTAAAATTCCGTCTTTTTAAAATGAGGAAGCCTCCAAAACCGACGGAGAGTTTTCTCATTGGCCAAGTTCACAATTTTTCAAACACCAAATCACACAAAACTAGCTAAACTTATACGAAATTATGCGCTAACATGCGAACAGTATCCAAATGCTATCAATAAGCTTCTCAAAATTTATGTCATTAGCCCAACCAATTAAAAAATAACAAAGCATAAAAGAACTAATAAAATAGTAATAATAAAAACAACACCACAAAATGGATGAAGAAGAAACATGATGAAATAGGAAATAAAAGAAAATTAACCAACATTAAACATTATACTAATATAAACAAAAATTCTAATCTAACAAACATATTACAATTTTACCAATTAAAATACAAAACTGAGCACTGGAACAAATTTAAGCAATTATCAACACGGAAGCATATAAACCAAAACGACTCTATAGAAATTTTAGAGAAATATATCAACCAAATCTAAACAAAATGAGACAATTAGATTAAAATAAGGAAACAATCATAAAGTAAATATAAAAAGCTAAAATGAACAGACCACAATCTAATAGACAAAATAAAATAATAAGCATTTAAAATTATGAATCACCAATAATGAACTAAAAAATAAAATTAAAAATAGACACATAATAGTATGAAACCAAAAGAAATCCGCCTCAGAACATTAACAGAAATAAAACTGATTTGAATTTGAAACGAGCAAAACGAATCGCCTGAAATGCAGCATACAACATGGAGAGAAAGACGAACAAGACTAAGTAAAACAACATTTTATTTCTGCTGGATTTGAAAGTGAAAGCTTAAACCTCACCCGCGATTGAAATTTGTCGTGGTGTTTGGGTTGTTGGATTGCTGGTTCGTGTTACTTCGCCTGAGCTTGGAGTTGCTGGTGGAGAGCAATGAGTTTGGAGTAGGGCAACATGTGGGAGCTGTTGGACCTGTAAAAAAACAAAAAAAAAAACGTAAAAGGGAAAGGGGGAGGGGACTGGCGGTGCTGCTTCTTTCGCTTTGCCCTCATGCTTGCTCAAAATTCACCTCCGACTCTCTCTTTATATCTTCTTCCGCCGCCTCCTTCTTTGGTGATACTACAACACCCCTCTATGGAGCCATTTTTGAGGGAGAGTGGTGATATGTGTGATGGCTGGTCGGAGGGAGAAGGATATGGGGTTTGGGGGTTTGTTGGTATTTTATGAAGGAACGATTGGGTGGTGGCTGGACGAGTGAGAAGGGGAGGAAGAAAGAGGAAGGCGGATGGAAGAGGGAAGAAGGAGTGAGAGAAGGGGAAGGGGAGAGGAAGAGGAAGGAGACGACGGGAGATAGAGGGGGAAAGGAGAAGAGGAAGAGGGAGGGTGAGAGGCGGCTGGGGGGTGTTTGGAGGAAGGGGAACAAGCTGCTGGAGAGGGAGAGGAAGGGGAAGGGGCTGATGGACAGGAAGGGACGAAAGGGAGGGGGAAGGGGTGAGAGAAGAGGGAGGAAGACCGGAGAGGAGGCGGAAAAGAGGCGGCTCGGCAGGAAAATGGGAAAAAGGGAGAGGGAAGGGTTTTGTCATTTTTTTCATCATCTCCACAAAATATTATACCAAAAAAATATGGGCCTAAGTTATGGGCTTAGTATTGTGACCCAAAATTCTTGAAATACAATTTCTAATTTTTTTATTTGATTAAATTTTAGACTGTGCTAAATTCACACAAATATTAACAAATGTAACAAATAAATAAATAAAACTACAAAATCACAAATTTTTAAAATGTTAGGCCAAAATTGGGTGTCAACAACTATCCCTTTCATTATGTATAATTGATGAAAGAAAACGTGGATATCGAAAATTGACAAACCAAATTTTGACCGAACACATAACCTTTGTAGAGAAGTGCGGTTGAATATGGTGGAAGTAAATCCCAGACTTGTCTACAAAAGGCTCTATGATGTGTTGCGTCCTTGTTGAAGTAGTTTACACCCGTTTTTTGATTTTTTTTTATTCTTTTTTTTGAAGAAATTCATCATTTCGAATGATCTTGACAAAGACTGAGATAAAACTCGTCCCAGACCTGTCTCCAAAAGGTTCTATGATGTGTTGCATCCTTGTTGAAGTAGTTTGCACCTGTTTTTTTATTTTTTTTTTATTTTTTTTGAAGAAATTCATCCTTTCGAATGCTCTAAACAAAGACTGAGATAAAAATCGTCAGCTTAAAAATACAATTTAAATGGGAGACAGTGTCTTCCACCGTGTCGACACTCAATTTCTCTCCTCGGCATTTAACGTCAGTTAACGTTGAGGAATAAATATTTCCTTTCAGATGCACGATTATTTTTCTGGCAGTGCATGATTGCTTGCAAGACATGAATATCTTCATGGCGATGCGCAAATTTTGCGAGGGATGAAATCTTCTCATGATGCATAAAATTTTGCGAGGTATGGGATCTTCTCGCAATGCATAAAATTTTGTGAGGGACGAAATCTTTTCGCGATGCATAAATTCCGCAATGTATGAAATCTTCTTGCAATATGTCAACTTATGCGAGGAATTGAATCTTCTCGCGATGCATAAAATTTGCGAGGGATGAAATCTTCTCGCGATGCATAAATTCAGCAAGATATGAAATCTTCTTGCCATATGTAAACTTTTGCGAGGAATTGAATCTTCTCGCGATGTATAAAATTTTGCGAGAGATGAAATCTTCTCGCGATGCATAAATTCCGCAAGCTATGAATTCTTCTTGTGATATGTAAACTTTTGCGTGGAATTGAATCTTCTCGCGATGCATAAAAATTTTGCAAGGGATAAAATCTTCTCGCGATGCATAAATTCCGCAAGGTATGAAATCTTCTTGCGATATGTAAACTTTTGCGAGGAATTGAACCTTCTCGCGATGCATAAATATTAACTCGCAATGCATGAATATTAATCCGTGATGCATGAATGTTAACTCGAAATGCATGAATATTAACTCGCAATGCATGAATTACGCAAGTTATGAAATATTCTTGCGATATGTAAACTTTTGCAAGGAATTGAATCTTCTCGCGATGCATAAAAATTTGTGAGGAATGAAATCTTCTCGCGATGCATGAATTGACTCTTGATGCATGATCTTCTGCGGGGCATGAACATCTTCCCGCAATGCATAAATTCCGCAAGGTATGAAATCTTTTTGCGATGCATACATTTCTGCGAGGTATGAAATCTTCTGGCGATGCATGAATTTCTGCGAGGTATGAAATCTTCTCGCGATGCATGAACATTAACTCGCAATGCATGAATATTAACTCTCGATGCATGAATATTAACTCGTGATGCATGAATTGACTCTCGATGCATGAATATTAACAAGTGATGCATGAATTGACTCTCGATGTATGAATATTAACTCGCGATGCATGAATTGACTCTCCATGCAGGAATTAACTAGTGATGCATGAATTCCGCAAGGTATGAAATCTTCTTGCGATGCATACATTTCTGCGAGGCTTGAAATCTTCTCGCGATGCATGAATATTAACGAGTGATGCATGAATTGACTCTCGATGCATGAATTAACTAGTGATGCATGAATTCCGCAAGGTATGAAATCTTCTTGCGATGCATACATTTCTGCGAGGTATGAAATCTTCTCGCGATGCATGAACATTAACTCCAATGCATGAATATGAACTCTCGATGCATGAATATTAACTCGTGATGCATGAATTGACTCTCGATACATGAATATTAACTCGCGACGCATGAACTGACTCTCCATGCATGAATTAACTAGTGATGCATGAATTTCGCAAGGTATGAAATCTTTCTTGCGATGCATACATTTCTGCGAAGTATGAAATCTTCTCGCGATGCATGAATATTAACTAGTGATGCATGAATTGACTCTCGATGCATGAATTAACTAGTGATGCATGAATTTGGCAAGGTATGAAATCTTCTTGCGATGCATACATTTCTGCGAGGTATGAAATCTTCTCGCGATGCATGAACATTAACTCGCAATGCATGAATATTAACTCTCGATGCATAATTTTTGTAGTTGCTATCAAGCTTCTCGCAGCACTTGTCAGAATTTTGAGGTCCTCCTTAAAATTCTGTCCCAGTTAGAATTTTGACAAGTCTCAAAATGATCTTCAATATTGACTTGTTGGCTATCTCTATTATGAATTTTTGAAATATCAGTTTTATTGTAAGGAGAAGTAATAATCACACTGGGTATATGACTGAGCCATCGTGGCGCCTAATATCCTGTCGGGACAGGAATCAGGTCAAATGTAGTTCCAATCTTGTGGATGATGAATGCTGCAAAGAATCTGAAAGATTATCAGTAGAAAATGCACAATATGAACATGCTGAAATATGCAAATGGTATTCCTTGCTATATTGAAAGCCTAAAAACAAGATATATCACATTTTGGGGATGGACAATCCAATGAAGTAAAATAGGTGTCTTACACATATAAGACTAACTTAACAACACCTTTTATAATGAACAACTCAAAAGACAATTTTTTTCTTTTTCAAAAAATAAATAATAAAAAAAATGATGAGATAGTCAAATTTTCACCTCGATCGGTACCAACAGTTATAATTGTAGGTAGATCTTTTTTTAAAGATTGAATTAAGGTAATTCCTACAACTTCAAGTGGTACCTCAAATATACTTAAGGATTAACAAGATCTGTTCATCTTGTTTCAAACAAAGATTTTGAATTGTATCAATCCTCATGCTCAAGTGCCCTCACGAAAAAAGTTAGTCCTATTTCACACATATTTGAAACATTTGATTATATGACATTTTCGAAGTGCACTCACACTCACAAGAATGTTCAATGCACACAACTGTGATACCGTATGCTTGACCCTTATGTAAATCTCCACTAATGTGAGAACATTTGGAATGAGATCATGTAGGGCTTGTCATTGGCTTGTAGGATTAGGGATGGGTAGGATATTTATTTGAGGTAAGCGTCATAAAGAATTTGTGCTCTTAATGATTGGTACGCATTTGACTTCAGATTCTCTTCATTGTTCTCCCACCTTTCATCTTCTTTTGAATTCTCATTTTTAACGCTTTTCACTTTTCTTTTCTTTTTTTAGCTTTTTTTTCTTCTTCTCTTCTTTTTTTCTTCTTTTGAGTCCTTATTCATTGAACTTTTCTTTTATTCACTTCTTTATTATAATAATTTTTTTTGTTGGAGTATTTTCCTTCCCACCTTTCACTGACCCTGCAAGGGTATTTTTTTACCTTTATTTATTTCTTTCACTTTTTCTTTCTTCTTTTCTCTCCTTTCTCTGGAGGTCTTTGCTTTTGAAATTTTCAAACATGGATATCCTGTTATCATTTGCACATTCTTGGTGCACTCAAGAAGGTTGGGCCAAGAGTAAACAGTGCTTGTAAGCACTCAAAAGGGTAGTGGTTAAGATGTGGTTGTCCAAATAAAGGTTTCAGGCTCAAAATGGGAAACTAGGGATTAATGTAATTTGGTAGGCTTTGAAAGGCACAATCGGATCAAAAAAAGCCTACAATCCTTTTGAATTCCCACCTTTCATCTTCTTTTGAATTCTCATTTTTAACGCTTTTCACTTTTCTTTTCTTTTTTTAGCTTTTTTTTTCTTCTTCTCTTCTTTTTTTCTTCTTTTGAGTCCTTATTCATTGAACTTTTCTTTTATTCACTTCTTTATTATAATAATTTTTTTTGTTGGAGTATTTTCCTTCCCACCTTTCACTGACCCTGCAAGGGTATTTTTTTACCTTTATTTATTTCTTTCACTTTTTCTTTCTTCTTTTCTCTCCTTTCTCTGGAGGTCTTTGCTTTTGAAAATTTCAAACATGGATTTCCTGTTATCATTTGCACATTCTTGGTGCACTCAAGAAGGTTGGGCCAAGAGTAAACAGTGCTTGTAAGCACTCAAAAGAGTAGTGGTTAAGATGTGGTTGTCCAAATAAAGGTTTCAGACTCAAAATGGGAAACTAGGGATTAATGTAATTTGGTAGGCTTTGAAAGACACAATCGGATCAAAAAAAGCCTACAATCCTTTCTTAAACCAAACATTACTCATGATTTCGCCTTGAAAAACATTCAGGTCAAGTTCTAGATCAACAGTGTAACACAATTGAACTTTGATCAAAATCTCACAAGACAATGCACATGAAACATAAGGTTAGTTTTTTTCTTATCTTGATTGCATGCAAGAGAATTTTCAAGCATCACAAAAGTACAGATAAGATTTACCACGAGAATCTATGATTTACCGCAGAGTCAGTCTTTTCAATCACATCGAATATATTCACATGCTCTTAACTACATAGGTTCCGACCGAGCTGAAAACGTGACTCTTACAGTATGTACAAACAATTTTTTTTGAAGAATGATTACCGAACCCGAGAAGGGCTGCTTACGTATCTCATTAAAATGAGAATCAGGTACGCGTAGTTCGTGCAAATATGACTTGAAAAATATGCACAAACTATTTTTTTTTTACTTTTTACCTTTTTTCTTTAGCAAAAGATAATATCGAACCCAAGAAGGGTTGCTACGTATCTCACTGAAATGAGAATCAGGTACGCGTAGTTCGTTCAAATCTGACTTGAAAAATATGCACAAACTATTTTATAATTAATTTTTTTTCTTTTTTTACAAAAAAATAATATCAAACCCAAGAAGGGTTGCATACGTATCTCATTAAAATGAGAATCAGGTACGCGTAGTTCGTGCTTATATAACTTTGAAGATATGCACAAACTATTTTTTTTACTTGAAAAAGATAATACCGAACCCAAGAACAGTTGTCTACGCATCTCACCGAAATGTGAATCAGGTATGCATAGTTCGTCCAGATATGACTTGAAAAATATGCACAAACTATTTTCTTTTTCTTTTTATTCTTTTTTTTAGAAAAAGATAACACCAAACCCAAGAAGGGTTGCCTATGTATCTCACCGAAATGAGAATCAGGTACGCGTAGTTCGTGCAGATATGACATATAATAATTTAAAAATTTAGACCAATCAAAGAAATTCCTAGGTCTAACGCCACTGAAAATTTGTAGTCATGAAGTGCTTTTTTTTTCCCGCACCAATATGTTTTATAGCCTCTTAATTGTCAATATTTATACTGTATGTTGAGTGTACCCTACGAATTTCTACGGTAATGATTTGTTATACTCTTTTTGGATGTTTTCTTAGATCTTTGTCTCCTTTCAATTTTCACAAGATCCAGATATTGTTATGAACATCCCCGACTGATGTCGGGGAAGGTATTCCTACAAAAATATGAGAAATATGTGAGAGCAGGACCATCATGCAAAATAATAATCAAAATAAGTGGGTAACACCTCATAGTCAAATACTCCCCTGATTTTCGTTTTGATTTGATGTAATTGAGAAATGCAAGGACTCTAATTTCGCCAATCCTCTCGTCTCTTGCAACTTTTGAAAAATAATGATTTTTGAATTTGAACATAAATTAATTTTTTGCTATAAAGAAGAACAACTCAAAATGTAAAAGTGTTAGCTCCTGTACATAATGAATAATGCAAAATATCACACAAATAATGAATAAAACACATAAATACTGTTTTAATTAAAGACAAACTGAATATATCACATAGTATACAAACAATTATTGCGCGTCCTATACAAATATGTAACCCTTTTATGCCTAGGGTAGACCTATCTATTTGAAGGATGTACACGTCATTTGAAATATTTCGTTGCCCCCAAAACTCAAATTTATACAATTTTTTTATGAATAAAACTTAATGGGAATACATAATAGGGGAAATGTATACAAAATAATCTGTAACACGCAGGGGTATGACCCTAAACTATGCCTCGACGAAAGATCCTTCTTCTTTCTTGACTTTTTGTAATCTTCGGGTGCCAACATCTTCGAATAGGCTAGTAGCTTGTGAAGCTCTTTCTTTAACTTATATAAACTATAATGTAATCCCTACCTATGAGAAAATTATTTTCTCAAACAACGTATACATCCTTCAAATTTAAACACATAAGTATGAACATCAATTTAGGCCGTGAGCCATTTTGGACTCAGGGTGGTCTTCTAATGAGCACAACACGCTTTGGGTGTTGGGTCAACTTAGTTAGTATGCTCTAAATTCGGAATTTGGTTTAGCTCTATCCTAGTTGACTAAGAGTGGCTTTTGAAAGACCGGGAACCCAAGCGGACAACTTATGTTGGAATTCACGACAACCATATAAATTACCGATAATTCCGAAAAAGAATTGAGTATTTTAAATTTCGGTTGCGGTTCCGCAAACCATCCTTTAATATACTATGCATACATATTAGATGATGTCATGAATGCAATGAAAAATATACACACAATAAAATAAATAAATAATCAGTGAAATATAAAAATACAAGGTATAACATAACAATAAAACAAAAATTTCCTCAATTTGAAAAAAAATAAAATCCATATTGGATAAAACCTCTAAAATCCCCAGCAAAGTCACCATTCTGTTTACATCCCTATTCAGTCAAAATAGGGCAAAACGTCGCGGCAACTTGAAAATAATTAATTGATTCAATTTTAACAAAGTTTTAAAAATAAAAGAGTTTTAAAAAGAGTCGCCACCTAATTTTAGGAAAACTAGGAAACAATTATTAATCTACAAAACCAAATTGATTCTAGGTAAGGAGTTCAAGTTATTCCGAAGGGAAGGGGTTAGGCACCCTTCGGAATCCACAACTGTGGTTCCCGAATGAATTTTTTTTCAAATTGAGGAAGAATATAAAATAATGTACATATATAATAAACATACAATATACAAAATAAAATAAAATAATAGTCGGCCTAAAGTTTGCCTAACATCAATATTCACAAGATAATGATATTAAAAGTATGATTCGAACTATATTCGAATAATTTCAAGGAGTACCTGTAGAGTCACTTAGTAAAAGAGTTAGTACCAAATAAATATATATAAAAATGAATAACTCAAATAATAACTTAAAAATAAAAATCCGTCTTATTAAAATGGGAGCCTTGGAAATCGACGATAATTTCTCCATCGGCCAATTCCAACAACTGAAATTATATATAAACTTAAATTAGATTTTCCGTCTTATAATATTGGGGAGGCCTCCAAAACCGATGGAGAGTTTTCTCATTGGCCCCTTTCAACAATTTTGACAAACAATTTATATGAACTTAAACTAAAAATTTCATTCTTTGAAAATGGAAAAGGCCTCTAAACCCAATGGATATATTTTTCATTGGCCAATTTCAACATATAAAATACATAAACTTGAATTAAAATTCCGTCTTTTTAAAATGGGAAGACCTCCAAAATCGACGGATAGTTTTCTCATTGGCCAATTTCACAATTTTTCAAACACCAAATCACACAAAACTAGCTAAACTTATACGAAATTATGCGCTAACCTGCGAACAATATCCAAATGCTATTAATAAGCTTCTCAAAATTTATGTCATTAGCCCAACCAATTAAAAAATAACAAAGCATAAAAGAACTAATAAAATTGTAATAATAAAAACAACAACACCAAATGGATGAAGAAGAAACATGATGAAATAGGAAATAAAAGAAAATTAACCAACATTAAACATTATAATAACATAAACAAGAATTCTAATCTAACAAACATATTACAATTTTACCAATTAAAAAATAAAACTGAGCACTGGAACAAATTTAAGCAATTATCAACACGGAAGCATATAAACCAAAATGACTCTATGTAAAATTTTAGAGAAATATATCAATCAAATCTAAACAAAATGAGACAATTAGATTAAAATAAGGAAACAATCATAAAGTAAATATAAAAAGCTAAAATGCACAGGCCACAATGTAATAGACAAAATAAAATAATAAGCATTTAAAATTATGAATCACCAATAATGAACTAAAAAATAAAATAAAAATAGACACATAATAATATGAAACCAAAAGAAATCCGCCTCAGAACATTAACACAAATAAAACTGACTGGAATTTGAAACGAGCAATATGAATCGCCTGAAACACAGCAAATAACATGGCGAGAAAGACAAACAAGACTAAGTAAAACAACATTTTATTTCAGTTGGATTTGAAAGTGAAAGCTTAAACCTCACCCGCGATTGAATTTTGTCGTGGTGTTTGGGTTGTTGGATTGCTGGTTCGTGTTACTTCGCCTGAGCTTGGAGTTGCTGGTGGAGAGCAACGAGTTTGGAGATAGGGCAACATGTGGGAGCTGTTGGACCTGCAAATATAACAAAAAAAAACGTAAAAGGGTAAGGGGAGGGGACTGGCGGTGCTGTTTCTTTAGCTTTGCCCTCATGCTTGCTCAAAATTCACCGCCGACTCTCTCTTTATCTCGTCTTCCGTCGCCTCCTTCTTTGGTGATACTACAACACCCCTCTTTGGAGCCATTTTGCGGGAGAGTGGCGATATGGGTGATGGCTGGTCGGAGGGAGAAGGAGATGGGGTTTGGGGGTTTGTTGGTTTTTGTATGGAGGAACGATTGGGTGGTGGCTGGAGGAGTGAGAAGGGGAGGAAGAAAGAGGAAGGCGGCTGGAAGAGGAAAGAAGGAGAGATAAGGGGAAGGGGAGAGGAAGAGGAAGGGGATGACTGGAGATAGAGGGGGAAGGGAGAAGAGGAAGAGGGAGGGTGAGAGGCGGCTGGGGGGTGTTTGGAGGAAGGGGAACGGGCTGCTGGAGAAGGAGAGGAAGGGGCAGGGGCTGCTGGGAGAGGAAGGCACGAAAGGGAGGGGGAAGGGGTGAGAGAAGAGGGAGGAAGATTGGAAAGGAGGCGGCTCGGCAGGAAAATGGGAAAAAGGGAGAGAGAAGGGTTTTGTCATTTTTTTTTCATCCTCTCCACAAAATATTATCCACACCAAAAAATTATGAGCCTAAGTTATGGGCTTAGTATTGTGACCCAAAATTCTTGAAACAGAATTCCTAATTTTTTTATTTGATTAAATTTTAGACTATGCTAAATTCACACAAATATTAACAAATGTAACAAACAAATGAATAAAGCTACAAAATCACAAATTTTTAAAATGTTAGGCCAAAATTGGGTGTCAACAATTTCCTTTATAATATATTTTAAAAAACTCATTCTCAAAAAGATTGACATTATTTAACTTTTAAAAAATAGAAATTCCACCCCCTCGTTGCTAATTCTCTGCTCCTAATTTATTTTTACATTTTTCTCGTTTTGTATTTGAGATGTACATATATTTTAAGGAACTTTTTTGTGTATCGAATATGACATAAGTAAAAAATTTATTATAAGAAAGTCTTACGGTGGAAAATAAAATATATTTTCAATATGTATATATTTAATACAAAGCAATAAAAATTTTGCAAGCAGAGGGTTAGGTGGAGTGCTTAGAATTTTTTTAAAAAAGTAATTTTTTTTAATACTTTTATAGAGAAATTTAAACTAAAAAAAAGGGGAAGCGGTTACAATGAGAGAGTAAAATATTTTACATTTTGTTTTTTTAAAAAAATATTCTTTCTCAAATGAAAATGACATAGATGAACCAAATTTTTAACGGATGACATAGATGAGTCTTTATTAAAAGTTCAATGACACATTTATGACTATTTGATGATTTATTAATGTTGATTTCTTTTTTTAGTCCATATATATTATAATGGATAAGAATGACAAGTGAAAATAATTGAAGTATAAAAGATTAACTATTTGCATTTTAATTTCTTACCACTTCTATATAGCGATGATTGCTAAATTTTAAATTATATAAATGATCATCATATGCAAAAAGATTTAAATACCAGACAAAAGATCATAATCTGATTTGTTTGAAAGCTTTCGAGTTTCATTTCAAGGTATGCTCAAATTTGAGTTTCTTTATCTTTTCTGGACCAGAAGTTATATTTTTGAAGTTATTTATGTGTGACATGTGAATTTCTATGACGGAGGTATAATTTTCTATTTTACACATAAGAGATCTGAAAAAGACATTTTTAAATTCAAATTGTAAGTAGACAAGAGAAATCATTTCCTTGATTCTTTCTCTGTTTCTACGAACACATTTTAAAACTTATATATGTGTAGATTCAACTACTTTAGGTTTAATATTTTTTTTTTAATTTATTTGAAGATTTTATCTATTGAATTATAAGAAGCTCACTGATTGATTTATATATGACATCCTATTGCGTGGAAAATTTTCAATTTGAAACTGTAGAGAAATAACTAATTAAAAGAAAATTCCAGGATTTTAAGTGAGTTTGAGAAAAATGGTTTTCTAGTTCTTTAGAAGGATATATAATTCAAGTCGGTGAGTGTAAAAATTTTAAAACATAGATACCTCACCCTATTACAATTCGAATAGAAGAAAATGACCATTTTAAATCTCTGGTGTTTAAAGATGAATATCTCTTATATGTAAGGACAAAAAATTCTCGTAAAACCATAAAACTAAAAGAAGTTTGTAAAGGGATAAAAAATTCATTTTTTATGCAACTGTTTAAGATTAAAGATTTAAAAAAATTGTAAAGGGCTCATCGTGTTTTACAGAATCCAATTTCAAATTATTTTAGGTCAAACAAAGGATCAGATCGGGCAAACTGACCTCTCGCGCCAACTGCACTTGTGGTCGCCTATCTGCACTTTTCAATCATTTTCCACACTTTGACCTGCACAATAAACACACCATTTTTCAACTTAAAAAGAAAGCAAACAAAATCTTGGGTCGCCTCCTAAAAAGCGCCTTATTTAACGTCGTGGCACGACACAAGTCCTCACTAGAACCTTATTCTTGGGGTTGGCCGTCGTATAACTGGGAAAATTCCCCTTGTTGTCTCGGGTTCAAATGAGAAGAGATATCACATATTTGGTCTCAAAATAATTGATTTATACTGAATGGGAAGTAATAGTCTGGCTAAGGGTCGATACATCTTTTTTCACGATGTGATTGATTCATGTGGCAATCACACCAGCCACTTGTATGCTTCTCCCATCAAAGAGAATGGTGACAACCTCAATCAGACCAACTCTTTCGGTATGTTCTTGAAGGAGAACGGTCCACATACATCCACAAAGTTCCTAATGTGCTAATGGGGATCCTGATGAGCCAAACCATTGAACAACCCTTTTCTATTGCAAAAGTTGAAACATAGTACTTGTGACGTGAAAAACCACATTTTCTTCGGCTGGAGGCAAGCGAATGGAAACAATACCACCCATAAGATAGGGGTAATTAGCATTAGGCTCGTTGACATCATTGAGATTTCTGATATCATCTTGGTGGCTACTTGAAAACCATTGCTTCCATTCTGTTTCAAGACACAAAACGACAAAGCGGAAGTAAAATTATGTAATTTTAACTATAATTAACAAGAACAACATTCTACTTAACTAAAGGTTCTCAAACAACACCACTCCTTGGCAGTAGGGCCATTTTAATTTCAGGTATCAGGAAACTTCATCCAATACTAAATGTCAACGATTATTAATTCGTATGACCCAACTAATTGAGTTGGGGGTAAAATCCCACGGGGAGTGGTATGTATTTGAGAATCAATAAGTAATTGAGAAAAATCTCAAGTCAATCATAGGTAAAAACATTTATGAATAAAAGCATGGTTCAAGTTTCGGGTAAATTAAGTGTGAAATAGCAGGGTTTTTTTTATTGTAATTATCAACCACAATAGCAAATAACATGTGTAACTAAATAATGAGACAAGTTTTTGGGATGTGATTAGATTATATCTAAGGTATACAAAATGGGTAATTGCAACTGATATTAAATAGTTGTAAATCATGTGACTAAGCTAGCACTTTTGGGGATAAACATTCTCTTGAACAATTTATCCCGAGTCAAATTTATTTCTCTCGAACACCAATAATAAACAATTAAGAACTACCTACGTTTTAATCCATTCGATCTCTTGAGTTGAATGTGCATAGGAGGGTCTAAGATTCACTCTCTTGAGCTGAACCCATAATAACTAATATCCACATACCGTCAAATCAGTAATCTTAGTTTTAAAACGTCTCTCTCAAGCAAGCCAAAAACACAAAGGCACAGTTGCATTTGCAACTACAACCCCTTAGAGTAAGCCAAAACTATAGAATGAAATCACTTTTAAACAAAAGTTACACTATCAATAAACAATAGTCAACAAAAACAACAGTTACACTATCAATGAACAATAGTCAACAACTAACTCAACCTAGAATCACATAATCACCCCAAGAATTGGAGTTTTAGCTTGATATCATAAAAATATAGAAGTTGTTACAAAATAGTGTTTCCATCAACAGGGTAAGATTTATTTTGTCTTTACGAAGGTCTAATATGACGAATCTTCAAAACCACTTTTAATTTCAAAGAAATGGCAATGTTCAAATCTTTAAAGCTAAGGAAATATTATCTCAAAACTCCATTCTAAACTTCCAAGCTAATAATTCTTATTGTAAATTGAAAGATAGATAGATCGATAGATCAATCAATATAAAATAAATAGTAAAAATGTATTTATGGTTGCAAAAAATATGGTGTGAAGGATCATTCAGCGCAATAAGTTGGGATCGCTGCTCCACTTGGTGATCCGCACTTTGGTCAATTCTATCGCCTTTTCGCTTTGACCTCCAGTATCTTCAACTCTAGTAACATTGGGCGACTGCATCATGGAACCGTTCGACAACTCATCGACTACTCTTTTATATCTCTGACTTAATTTTCTCCTTGAAGGATTTGCACACTGGAACTTTAGGCGATACAATGGCCATTTGGCGACTTGACCAATAAGTTAGGCGATCATCAGGACTTTTTTTCTTCATTCTTTCAGCTGCCTTGGTCGTTTGTTCTCATTAGTGTACATGCTTTGTTCCTCAAACCAAATACATGAAATCAAGAATTTAAATTGAATCAAAATATGCCTTTGAGGACACTAAATCTATTAAAATAAATCCCCAGTGATTCGAAATTGTGGACTGATCACTAAGTGCCTAACTTGTATGGACGGTTGCTATGGGTGTGCAAAGAATAGACACAAAATTAAAGATTGCCTGGTTCTCAAGGCTAAGGGAAGTGAGGATAATAAAGTTGCCTCTAGTGGTCCAGATGAGAGTGCTCTTAAGAAGAATATGTTTTATTCTCTCCAATCTAGAGAAGATCAAGAGTGATCTCCTCATATTGCTTCCGTTATGTTTTTTATGCTTTATAAATTTCTGGATTTCATGTATTTTGTGACTTGTTATATCTGATCTTGAAGCTTTATTTTGCATGAATGATGTATTGAAGTGATTATATAGGCTTACTTTCAAGGAGGAGATAGTATTCCAAAAAAGTAAGGTTATTGTGTGTTTATCTGTTGCCATGATTCCCTTATGTGCATGTTCATGAAAAAAGCTTAGGTCTTGATAGAAATGACTTATATACATTGTTTGTCTCATGTTGTGGTGCATTTGAGTGCACTTGCATATAAACTTAATTAACTAATTAACATCTTAGTTAAGAGTTGAACGATTCCTCCTTGAATAGTGGTTTTTTGAGAGTAAATTGCATATAGGATCCATGACTGTGTGTTGATCATGTTTTATATAGGAGAATGTAGTTCCTCCTTGAAATGAGTAAATGTTGATGTTCATCCATTTTGAATTGTTAGAAGTAGTTCCTACTCCTTTGTATTTCATTGAATATGCTTAGCTTGGAATTAAAATTTTCTTCCTTGGTTGTGTGCATTTTAGATTTATTTCATGCATGATGGGTTGCTAATTTATAGAGGTAACCTAAAGAATCATTTAGAATTGTCAGTCTAGGATGAATGATCCCAAGGGGGATATGCTGTTATGCCTTAAAAACTAGTGAACTAAACTAGAAAGTTC